CTGTATGCAGATGAATTCTTATACTGAAAACTGTGGAAAAATCGAGGTATATAGACTTTGGATCTTGTAACTTTCCCACTTACTTCATGGCAATTACAACAGGAGTTTCAGGAGTTTTAAGAGTTTCAACTGTTTCAGAAAATAAAAAGTCAATTTAAAAATAAAATAAAATGTAGCAAAACATAGGTTTTTTTAAGGGGCCAATGTTTTGGTTAATCCAGTCTGACATTCCTGTACGCAGGTCATGTCCGCACACAAGTTCAAGGTTCGATGCCTATTTCGATCCGTGATTTACACCCCCTTGCGCGCGCACGTGGAGAGAGCTTCTATACTACACATGATTATACCATTCTAAAGTACAATCCTTTATAAAGTGATTTTAGTTTTTATCAACTTCTTATGTGGGACAAAATTAATTTTTTATTTTTCCCACCAACTTAAACTCGTTTCACATGACATATTTTGAGCTTCAATTTTCCATTCACTTGAGTATCATTTTTGACAAGTAAATATATGATTTCAATGTATTCACGGAGGAGAACACAAATCAACTTTCATCTTCCAAAATAACCAAATGGGCCCCACTCAAAATTCATGCCAAAGTTACCTACAAACTCAATTTTTCCAACAAATATTTCTTTAACCTTTGTAAAGTGTAAAAATGAAAATTCTCCGTCATTTCAAGTATGTGTTGCGATGGAAAACCATTTCAAATATTTTTTTTCATCTACTATAGCTACATTGTTTGATCCGTGTTTAAAGTTACGTGGAGCTGGACATTGCTTAGAAATACTTCAAATTAATGTAAACTTTACTTTCGACAAATTTAATATCTTACAATTGTAAACGACGAAGATTCACAAGGAAAGACAATCCAGTTTTTTTTAAACATGTTCGCTCATGCTTATGCTCTGCTCAGCTATTCCCCTGAGCACAAGCCAGCTTGTGCAGTGATTTGGCTCGATCCATTAATATCCTTACATCTCAGCTGCTAGAAACAACATTGTGAAATATATATTCTATTATTTTCCACTTTTTATGGTGGCTTAGATTGACTTGTTGTACATATGCCCTCAGCCAATACATTCACAAGTGGACAAGTTGGTGAAAATTCAATAATAAAAAATAGAGTTACAAAATGAATAGGAAGATAACGCAATCGGACGGATTGAGGCACAGATATCTCACTCTCTTTAAGGAGATTCATGCCCTCTGCAGTTGACAAAGCCTAAAACACGGTGTAGCGGAACTTCTCTATAACTTGTCCCCTTCAAGATACAACAACCCTCTATTTGTCGTATGACTCAAAAAAACTTTGCACGAGTAATTGAGCTCAAAATTCCACTAAAAGAAACACCCTTATTTGCTCAATAATCTCTAAAGAAAGTAAGTGAGAATGTAATGACAAAAGCCAAAAGAATCGTGATTATTGTGGTTGTGATGAATGACCAAGGAATTGTCATATTTATAGGTTAAATTAGGCTACCCAAAATAAAGAGATGTCATAAACACGTGAACCTTTTTACCTTTCATTTTCCAAACCTCCAACCTCTACACTTTCCTAACTCCCAAAACCTTCAAACCTATTAAAAGAAGATATAATGAATGAATTTTTAATATTAAAATGCACCAACACTCCCCCACTCATGTTAATATAAAACAGACATTATCAGGCAAAGAAGGACTATTATACATCATGAAGGTGTGCTCTACATTGAACCATCACTTAGTGAAACAAAAACCTTCACTTCAGAGACAATAGTGTGCTTAGCATTGATGATTGAACTATGCTACTTAAAGGAAATAAAGAATTACTGTCCATGCATAACAATCCAGGTGTTGATATGAGCTTTAATAGCCAGCACATTACGACATTGTGCTAATCCCAGTTTCATGAACGTATTTGAGAATAAGCCCAATTCTCATAAAAAGCGGTCCCACCTCCACACTCACATATGTGAAATATATCAAGAGTGCTCCTATAATATTTTCACCCTACTCATAAAAGCTATAGATCTCATTAAGAATTTTTTTAAGAAAACTCAACCTCCAAAAGTATTACAGGATAAATGCACTCACATCATAGGGATGATAATAATAAGATAAATAAATAGATAGTGCATTTCTTGCGACCACCATATGATTTGTTTTTCCCATTGAACCCAGTTCTCAGGATCTATAATCCCCGAGTTGTGTATCCTCATATGTGGCTCTTGTTTATATGGGCTTCAATCCATCCCTCTCGACGTGCTCTGAATCTTTTATCTTGACAAGACCTTTGTCAATGGATCTACAAGATTATTACAAGATTTCACGTAATCAACATTTATTATGCTATTACTTAGATAGGATCTCACGATACCGTGTTTTCTCCTGATAGGTCTAGATTTATAATAATGATTTTGTACTCCACCAATTACTGCAGTGCTATCACAATGAATTAACATAGATGAAACTAGTTTTTCCCATATTTCAC